AAGACTATCTCTTAAATTTTAAGATAAATTTACTAGTCTATAAGGGTACCTACATACCTCTGTGCTTTGTAAATACCCTAGAAAAACAAGACCAAAACGAACAAAAAGAAACCGAAAATGTTTTCCAATTTCGAGGCCCCAGCAGACACAGGCTGAAGCTCGATGAACGCCTGACTGAGTGACAACGACGCGGTGGGTATCAGGGGATACATATATAGAGAGAGAACAGGGGTTAAGAGTTCGGTGGATGATTGGGCGGAAGACGGAAATTCGGGTCTGGCCGAGTATATTAAAAGCCAGAAAGTTAATGAAGCGTTAGGCGCTGCAAACGAAGCCGCAATAAAGCGGTCCAAACATAAAACAGCAAAAGAGCAGGAAATTTATTTATTACTTTGCTATTTCCGCCCAACACTCGCCCCTAACTTGGCTATTTAAACAGAAATAGAAATAAAAACAAAAACGAAAACAAAAAGCAAGCCAGAAGCATTTCAAGTAGCTACTTCAACGTTTTTCCAGCTCCTTCTGTTAGGACACGCGCAGCTGTTGATTTTAAATTGTTGTCCTCCTTGTTGGCTGCGGTTTTGTCAGCTTTTCCAGCTTTTCCCGCTTTTCCCGCACTGTTGCTTGTCCTTTGTCCTGTGCCTTACTTGTGTGAGCGTGTGTGCGTGTGGCGGTAGGAGTCGCTTTGAGCCATTGTCTTTGGCACTTGCCTCTAAGCGGCTACTTGAGCAGTGAAACTGGCACGAGCATTTGCATTTCACTTTTGCTCTGTTTTTTCCGCCTTTTTTATATTTTTGTCTCGGTTTCGGCTTTTCTTTTTTGGTGCTGCAGCAAATGCCGCAGAATGCTTGTCAGCAATTTGTCATCCTCCCCCCCATCGGCTACTCACTTTTTTGTTCCGTTTTCAAGGTGCAGGACAATGAGACACTTTCTTTGGTGTCCTGGTGGGAAGTTGAATTGAATTGCAATTGAAATCAAGTTGATATTGAAGTTTATTTGCCATTTATTCGTGCAAATGGTCTTTGGTGACTTTGAATTGGTTTAAAATCATTTTAAACATGCCCAGATTACCTCTTAATAAATACTTTATTCTAATACCATAACATATTTAATTAAATCCCCTAAATGTATCAACACTTTAGCAATGAAATTGTATAGAAGGAAATCAGCATTCATTCATCTTTGAGCCTTTGATGCCTGATGCCACTGCTTTATTTATTGACTGTTAAACTTTTCATTAGCCATTTCGTTTAATTCGCACACAATGGCATGGGGGGATTGAAGGCAACGGGCAGAAGAAGCTGGGAAAATCCCAACAATGGCGGAGGGAAAAATGGCAGCGGAAACACGCAGTGGCAGCGGCAACAACAAAGACACAAACACGAAGGCAAACACAAGCACAAACACAAACAAACAACCAGCGGCACTAAGTATAATGTATTTGTGTTGAAAGACACACAGCCACACAGTGGCAACTTTATTGCCCCTGCGTGTGTGTGTGTGCGTATATCAAAGATACAATCAGTGCGCAATTGTCTGCGTTGATGAGCAGCTGGATCTGAGAGTTGCCCCCACCCAGAACCGACCGATTCCCATACAATATAGTATGTGTGTGTGCCTGGCCCTTAGCTCCCAAAATCCCAGCTTCCCTGCTCGCTTTTTTATGACAATAATGCCGCGTAATCACAATGATAATCATGGCACATACACACGCTTAGCACACACACACGCTATTCCAAAGAGAGCTGACGAAATATATAATATATATAATTCCTATTAAGATTTGGCTGAATAAAAAGAAAAACGCTTTTCATGTTGGTCATGATTGCGAATTTATTTCAAGTTAAAAGCCTAAGATTTTTGAGGGATTTAATTCTGAATTTTTATCTTAAAGTTACTTAGATAAATAAATATAAATATTATTATTTCCTTACAATTAAAATTAGTACAATTTTATTTTATGAAATTTAAGAAATATGTTTTTGTTATGTACAAATTGCATATAATTTCTAACCCTCGACAGGTTATGTGTTTGTCTAATCTATCAAACACACTCATTCAAATACATAAGAGAATCCCTATATTAATTGCTAAATATGTTCGGAAAATGATCTAACTTTCACAGTAATTAGTAATAATCAAAATCAATATCACATTCCACATACTGAACAGTAATTAGAGCCTCATTACATTTAATTGATATCGAATTTTCCAATTATAATTGTGGGTTTCCCCCATGAATTTGTAAGGGAACTGTGAGCCATTTTCAGCCTTCTCACGGAACACAGTTTGGCCCTTATATTTGTGCAGCAGATGCACTCGGTTGCTCATCAAAGTTTAATTAATAAGAGATATGTGTATTTCTAAGGCAACCTTTGAAAATAACAGCAATGCAGTTTGCCATCAGAGAACAAAACTAAAATTTGTAATTGCATATCACAAACATATTTAAGTTAAGTTGAAACACACCTCTTAGACACTGCTTAAGCCACATATTTATTATATATCAAAGGCATGTCAATCTCATTCTAAGTTAAGCCAGACAACAATTCACATTTCTGTATCAGAACTTAACCTGCTTTCCCGCTCCGTTGAGCCGTTGAAGTATTTTAAGCGCATTTTCTTGGCGCCCACCCTTTAAGGCGACAAAAACTTTCTCTATCTCGGTTTGAATGTGAAACTTGAGGGAAAATAGCAAACAACTTGGAGCAATGTAACATATTCTATTTAATGCTCACACGAACAATGCTGTTGTGAGTCTGTGCATGTATTATTTGTGCTAAAAACGTCGGCGAGCTGACAGCGTGATGCCAGTCAGGCAAGCCAGGCCCGCATAAGTGTGCTACGAAAGAGTGTGTAGTCTGGAAGGATGCAGACACACACACACACAGGCGCAGTCGGAGCTTAAACAAGCATTCGAGTAGTGTGACATATTACAACAGACCTCGCCCCGTGCCCTGCCCCACCCACGTCGCCTTTATTGCAGTCCACAGAACTTTAAGCAAAGAACTGAAACCGAAGGCATCTACCTCTCTCCATCTGTTTCATCCTATTAGAGGGCAAATGTCGCCGCTGAGCAGGATTTCTATATATTTGTGTGTACAACCGACGTAGGATTTGTACCTAAACGCTGAAAAAAAACCAAGTCAGCAATGTTCTTTGAATATATTTAATTTTTATAATTTTTTGTACTAATTTTTGGAATTATTTTGTAATTTAATTTGTGTTTCCAAATAGTTTCTTTTTGTGGCCTGCAACTATTGAATTTCCCGGGAAAACTATTAGAAAACTATTTACTTGCAGTGCAGCACCACCCACAAGCCGCTCATTGCACCACATTCAAGTGATTCTTTGTATGCCACAATATTTTATTTTTCCACAGAAATGTGTCAATTTAATGGCTTTGAAAACCCACCCAAAGCAATGTAAAAATATATTTTCTGCAAATAACTTTGCAGTTTCTCTTGTTATTTTATTCTCTTTGTGGTCAGTGTTGCGGTTCGAAAAAAAAAGGGGAAAACCGAAGGCTAGATAGAATTTATACTTTGATGATGCAATTGCAATTGCGTTGTTAATTTTACAAAGTGCGGTTAACCGAGCGGCCAAAATATGTTGGCAGCAATAAAATTAACTCGCTTTATATGGCCAGAACAAAAAATGGCTTAACATTTGTTTTAAATGTAATTGGAATATCGAGGGGCAAAAAAATGCTGCGAAACTCGGATTTATTTTGTTCATTTTCATTCATTAAAATCCTGAGAAGAGCAACCAAATAACATCCTGGGGATTTTACCCTTAATCGCTCCTCTCACATTGCCCATTAACGGAATCATAAATTATTAACTAGGCACGAAAATCTGCAGCTGGATAAACGCTCTCAGCCAGAAAAGTGCGCTCAAGCAGACGAGAGGACCCAAGTCGCAGGAGGCTTTCATGTATCCTGAAAAAAGGACTCACACACACACACACGACAACGAAGACGATGATGATGATGATGATGGGCCCGATGACGATGCCGATAATGGAGCTTACAACTCAAAGCCAGGGCCCAGTTATTTACATGAAACTCAGGCTGAAGCTGAGCCATAGAAAGACAAGAGTCAACATTTCCTGTTGTATCGCAAATTCTGAACAGTTTTTCTAGTTCTATTTTATTTTTCCTTCCATTTTTACTTGTTTTGGCACGAATAACAGGCAGCGTATCGCTTTCATTGTTTTGCCAGGCGTAATCACAACAATGACCAAAATAATGGCGGAAATACATTGAACTTTTCTGGCCCAATATCCTGTCCAGAAAAAAAAAAATGTAGCTGTATCGATGGCCCAAGAGAGCAACCAAAAGTAGGGCAGAGCGTGAGTGTGTGTCTATGACTACACAAATATGGGGAATATATTAAATCAACAGGATGTGCTACGTGATTTGGCAATGGCCAAGATAAATACAAACAAGAGCCCCCCACATATAGCTTTTGGTTGTATGAAAATTTGAAGCTTCACTTGAGCTAGATATATTTTTATGAAATGGAAAAATATAAAGAAGTGCAGCAAGCATTGTTATCAAAGTTTTCAATGAATATTCATTTTCATTCCCGTTTTTGCATCCGAATTTCAACTTTATGTTGGTTGAAAATTATGTTGAAGCGTTGTTTTATTTTCCCAAAATTAAACAAAATGAAACCTAGTGAGTTTTAGCTATACATTTAAATAAAGAATAATCCACATACAAGTTTCTATACAATTTTATGCAAACTAAAATAAATTCTCATAGTTTTTCATTTATAGTATGAAACGGTTTTTTATTCAATTATAAGTAAAGGGAAAATATTTCCGCTTACATTATAATCTAGCTGAATTAAAAGTTTTAAATATTAAAAAGTTAATAAAAAAAAATCAGCTACAAAAAAATATTTTAATTAATTCACAAAATATTTTTTACTCTTTAATAAGCATGCCTAATTATTTAAATGTAATCAAAATGTTGTACATTAATTTGAACTCACCTTATTCCGCCCACATTGAGTATAATCCGATTTTCGCCATCCATGTTGCATGCAACAGTTGGGGCAAGAGCAGCCGCATGCCAGGGTAATTCTTTGTTGGCTCGCAAACAAATCGAACAAAAACTTCGACACTCTTTGACTGGCTTTCAAGAGTTGTAACCTTTGAATTTTAGCTAAAAACACACGCACACACTCGACACAAGCACACACACACAGAGAGAGACACGAGCTCGCGGTTCACACGGCGTATGAGCAATGTGAGGCCTCAACGCGATGCTTTCTAATTAGACTTTTGGGGGGCACAGGTTGCACTTCCTTTTTACTCTTTTCCGGCTGCTCTCTTCTTCTTCGTCGGCTCTCACAGTTGAGTTTGTTCTGCACTTGCATTTGGCGGCTTTGGGTTTATGGTTTTAGCTTTGCACATCTCCCCAGCCATCGTTCCCTTGCCTCCCGTGGCCCTCGGCGCTTCGTTTGTCCTTTGACTGAAAATAAAAAAGGGAAAAATGGTTGTCAAGGACCTTAGTAGAGTAATGTGCATGCCGAGATTGGGTTAATATCTGTGCAGCAATGCGTTGTATGCCCTAAAGTTATACTTGCATATACTCGTATACACATTTTATATGCAAATACTTTAGACATAATCCCAGCTGCGCCAAAGTACGTCAGCTAAGCAACTATTTTCCTTTGACAAACGCAAAATTAATTAGATATTTTTCGTGCAAGGAATTTCTGAAGAATGTGCTCATGGCAAAAGTTACCCAAGTTGAACCATAATTGAAATTTTAAGCAACTTGGCTTAAATGTACAAGGATTTTCCTTGAACCAGTCTTTTTTCAAGGTCTGCAGTTCAATTTAACAGGATATTTATTGCTCAGTCAAAGTAGGTCAACATGAAAATAACTTGACTAGGATTAGATGTTATTTTAATCTGAACAAAAAATAATTAATGAATTCAAGCAAAGAAATCTCTATTTGAATTGTTGTCATAAAGAAAAATATTAAGATGTTCTTAATGAAAAATAATAAATGCCTCGAGTGAATTTATTAGGCCAATTACATATTCCAAGCAGCTGAAATGTGATAACAAAACCTCTTTTTGAATGCCTAAAATGCGAGACTAAAAATACATCTTAAAATGGAAGAAGCAACTCATCATTTCACTTTGTCAAATCAAAATGTGAGCAGAATCAGCTGAGAAGACACAAACAAAATAAAAGAAATAACGCATTCGCCACGTAAGCCCCGACAGGCAGTGTAGGGAAATTCGCCATAGTACGTATAAAGCGGAAACACAATACAAAAAGGAAAGTGAAAAGTGAAAGTTAAGCCAAGGAAAATGTTGTGCCTCATCACTGTGGCAGTTTTATGGGCCGAAATTGTGGCCACGAATGGAGACAGGCTTGCATTGGGAATTTCTAAATATATATATATGTACATCAGTCTGTGGGCCGTAATGATACACTGAGAGAACTATAGAAATTTTAGCAACAGCGAGGAATTGCAAAATAAATTTTAATTAAAAGAAAACTATGATTAGAAATGTCTTTATTACATTTAATACTATAAAAGATAATTATTTAACTTAATAACAAAATTGCGCTCTCGAAATGCTTTTCGTATCCTCTTTTTTCGTATATGTTTTAGTCGCTTTTGGCTGAGTATGCAAATTTTTTACTTGGCCGCACTTTAGCATGGCCTGCGACAGGATTCGCAAGGAAGGAAGGAAGCAGGGATACTCCCTGCCGGAGCCATGTGTTCGCTGTCAAAATGACAAAATGTTGGTTAAGTGCGACGAGCTCACAAAAGTCAGAGAAGCGAGAGAACGGAGAAAAGTGAGAAACCCTAACGGAGAACTGGAGGGCAGGGAACGGAGAACAGAGAAGAGGTAGTGACAAGACCACTCCAACGATCAACTGACTGAGTGACTGACTATATAAAAAGGACACTCGGGCTGGCTTGGCAGGCAAACTTTCGCAGTCGGAATGAGATTCCGAGTGAGCAGCTGAGGCAGCATCAAGTGCGTCATCAATCTCGGCGGCGTTTAGAGGGACTTTCCATTCATTAAGTGGCTGCCGCATGCCGCCTACCGCCTGCCGCCACCGAGGATTGACAGGAGCTGTTGGGGAGCAGGTCCTCATCGCTGAGTGCTTTCAGTTCGCGCTTTGTCTTTGGGCTTTAGCCTCCATCTCCTCTGCAGCAGCACTCCTCCTCCTCCTCCTTCAGCTGCACCGCCTGTTAGTGGCACTTCCCAGTCGCTGCCATCCTCCCGGGACACGACTCCCCGAAATCAATCAGCTGCTCACTGAGGCCCGCCATGTTCGAGGATGGGTCCTATCAGGTCCTTTGCTCGTCTCCCATGGAGCCTCGTATGCCAATGTGTGTGTGTGTGTGTGCAAAAGTGAATAATAAGTTTTCGCCAATTTTGTATTGTGATGGAAGTGATTTGTTTAACTGCCTGCGAGGGATGTCAACGTCGGGAGAAGATTCATGTCGATGGGCGTTTAAATTTTAAGACTAGAATTTGCGAGAACTTTAAAAATCCTATTTGGAATATAGGAATTTATTGATTAAGACTACCATTAATAAATAAAATTAAACAAATTATTTTATTTAAGCCACATCCATCAGCCTTTTCCCTGCAACTATTGATAATTGACCCCAATAAACGAAAAAGCACGAAACAACCATTTTAATTGTGTAAACGCAACGTCACTCATACGCCACATTAACCCAACTGGTTAAAGCAAACCCTTTTGCTGGCAAAGTGAAAAATCCAACTAAAATGGCGCAATGAAAATGGACGCACAGATAATGTCGACTTCGGGTCGGAATTGGAATGGGAATGCGAGGCAGGGGTTAGTCCGAAACAATGCTCTGGCCCGCAGTCCGATCGAAAAGAGGAAAACTTTTACTGGAAACCAAACTACGGCCAAAACTAAACAGTAAAAGTTTCGGGTCAAACAAAACGTTTCCCCTTCGCTGCTGCGAAATAATGTGCAAATGAAGAGTGCATACACACACACACAGACACAGAGACCCATAAATCGAGTTGCGTTTTCCTTGTAAATTAGGGATGCTGGGATGCAAGGATGCCGGAGCAAGAGGGGACCCACCGTTGATGATGGTGAAAATCAATGGGCAGGAAGCGTGCTCCTCCTTGGTCGTCGCGGGAAAAGCACTGCTGGCAAGGTCATCCCCGCCGCCATTGTCCAATTGTCCGGAGCGGAAACAACCGGAGCCAAAAGGCGGACCGAGCTCGGCAGGGAAGTTGCCGGCGCAGCACAAGGTTCGGCGGAAAACAGAGGATGTCATTTTCCTGCCTGTCATCGGAAAAACACAAATAAAAAACCAAAAGAAAATTCGGAGCTTTTGGTCTATTAAATACTTTGAGGGTTTAAAGAGTTACTCAACTGTTTTAAGTAAAGTTTTCGAGGAAATACATATATTTTAAAGCGGATTGAATGCTAGGTTGTTTTCAAAGACATGAATATATATTCTCTCCCACGTTTCAGTATTAGGAAATAAGAGAAGTGATTGCTATAGTCGCTATAAATAAGCACGATAATTATATCTGTTCCAGGCAAATGACAAAGCATTTCAGCTTCAGATTTCATCTTTGTTGTTTGCTGCGACTGCCTGCAAGGAAAATGCATTATTTATCAGCTTCGAAGAGAAGTTCCTGACGCGAAATTCTGCAGGAAAAGTTTGTAAACTCGAACGGCAAAATATGAAAATCAAATGGGACAGCTGAAGCCAGCTCGGGGATAGTTGAGTTTGAACAAAAACTTTTCTATTAATAATGCTGGAATATTTTTAGGAATTGTAAAGACAAACAATGGAATATGTGGAGCCACTAACATTTGCATTGTGATGCCAGAATGCATATTCATGTTCGAAAATACATATTCTCCAGCACTAAGAAGTTTCCCTGGAAACAAGGACTACATCTGCATCTCGAATGCCTTTTCAATGGATAGAAAAGCAGTACAATAAGTCGCCCAACAAACTCGGACTCTATGTCCGAAACAATAAAAGGAAGCCTCAATAATCCGACACTGGGGCAAAAAGAGCATTGGCCCATGATAATAGAAAGGAATCCATAATTCGCTTGTCTGACCGGCCCCACAAACATCCTTAACGAGGAAAAGGACCCGGCGTAATCGCAAAAACATTGGCAAAGGCAAAAGGCGACTCAGCAAATGGGGCGCCTAAGTATATTTTCCGGGGCGGTGCGAGGAATTCGTGAAAAATCGAATTATGAATACGCCACGAACAACACAACAAAAAAAAAAAAGGGAAGCGAAAAAACTGGGGAGGGTGGCAACGTCATGTAGCGCATTCGAAATCATTGGCCTGTACTGAATGGGATTATCCCCGGCGTGTTTGTTGTTCTGCTTGCTTTTAGCCCGAAAATATGATTACTATTTGGCAGCAGCTCCAACTTTATGGCTCGCGCCACGCCTACACCCTGCTTGGGCGTGACTGGGTATACTCCTCTAGCTGGGCATTAAATAATAGACCATAAGAAATTGAATTGTAATTTATGCCATTTATTACTCATCCCAGGGAAACTGAATTCTATACATAAGAAATATGTCCGATAAATGCATAAATAATTAGGGGAGAATGTATTTAGCAAACACCATTTGAATACAAAAACTTCTATACAAGAAAATTTTTAATAAAAAATATTTTAACTAAGAGAATAATTCCGGAAAATGCTTAAGTGCTGGTATAAGAAGAAAAATGATATAAATATACTTTAATTATAATATTTTTGGATATATTTTGAAGACTACATCAAAGAAAAAATTAATCTTAACAAGTTTTCTTAACCAGAAATTAAATTCAAAGCACAATTCAAATTGTATTTTCCTAAAATATAAACATCATTCCTTTTTTGTAAATCCCTTTACAAGTTCTAAAGAAAATCCCTCTTAAATTGCAAATCAAAAACCCATTATATACAATTTAAGCCACACGAAAAGTGATGACAAATGTTTCAATTGAAACACACTTTTTGCAGCAATTTCCCTCATGAAAATTCAGTTGTAAAACTTGGCCCAGGCCACTTTCATTGATAAGTACTTTAAAAAACACAAAAAAAAATAGAAAATAAAACTAACTAGGGAAAGGAAATCCTAGCATAAAGATTTATTATCGACATCCGCAGCAGCTGTCAGCACAGAGTGGGATTTATGTTTTCCTTTTGATTTCCCACTCGCCCCACTTGGCCACTGGAAAAGCCATCGCATCAGTCAACTCTCATTGGCAGTGTTTTCATTTTTGCGGAACTTTTGGAAAATCTCTTCAACTGCCTGGGAGTTGTTCAACAGAAAGGCCCTGAATGGCTGTGTATATAACTTATTTTAGTGCCTGCCTTTCGCTCAACAAGAACAACCTCCCTTTTGGCCGCCAGCCTCGGTTATTTCTTGTTGAATGCCAAACGCAGAACTAGAAAAATTTCCCTTTTTTATGTTTGACATGTGGAAAGTATTTGAACTATGCCAGCCAAAGGGGGGGTGGAGGATGCTGTCTGGGAAACTATTTTCTTTTCATTTCCTTTGCGCTGGCATAGCGCACTTATGGAATATAATGGAACATGGATTTCACATAAATAATGTGAGTTGCAATATGCACATCATTTTCCCCCTTCCCTCCGTGGTACCTTGGCACGCGCAGGAATATTGAAAGTATTTCATTCCATTCCGCATCGGACTGGCAAGAGCTTAGTTTCTGCTTTACGCCCATCCCTGCAGCGGCTGGCCTTTAATTAAAAGCAAACATGTTTGCCAGCAAACCCAAGGCAAGCACACACCGCCACACGGCCCACTCATCCATGGCAGTACATTTTATTTGCCATAAAGTAAATGTTTTACGAACTTAAATTACATTTTGGCAGGGAGTTTCCCAGACCATTCGCTCACCTGGCGCCACGTGTGTTTGCATCACGTGCAGGGCTTTCGAGTTGAATAATTTTCTCCCTGTCGAATCTCATGTATTTGATTTTGTTAAATTGTTTACACAAGTGTGCTCTCTGTGTTTGGTTGTAAAACATACAAAAAATCTGGCCTGGATATCGTGTAAGATTTTTGTTCAACTACATTTTCAGTTTTAATTGTTTAGGTAACCTTGGAAAGAGTAATTAAGAAGCAATATTTATGTAACACCTTTAAATTAATTTTTATTTGGTTAGAGTATAAAATGTAAATAATTTAATAAACAAGTCTCAAGTCTAGGTTATTTTCTATATTAAAGTTATTTTCCCTTAAATGTGACTACACAATTCTTGAAACCTGTCTTCTGTCTAGCCTTGTTATTTACAAAGTTTCAGAACAGTTGACATGTGACAGTATTGTTTGCCTTATTGTCACGTTTTTCCCACACTTGTGGAAGGCAGGTGGCACTACTACTTTTTGCGTAACTTCACCAGAAATGATCTGCGACATGATTGCCGCATGTCGCTCACTATCAATCCCTATCATTTCCTGGCACACTGGGAGCTCTTATCGGGGCCGACATTAAGTCATGCGGAATGGCAATCAGCCAGGCAGCCATCCAGCCAGCGGCATCGATGAGATCACGGAGCACATGACAAATGTGCCGCGGAGTCGGATGCGTGAAAGCGCATTCCTTGGGCCGACAAGGCGTCCACATACTTATGTATATCGACTCGGTTATGTGGTGACGTCAATGGTGGGTTCTTTAATTAAACTTTTTAAAGCATTTTCCATGCACTTAATTATGTCAACGACAGAGAACGCGCCAGAAGGAAGGGAACTGAAAAGTGCAGCAAGGCCGACGCCGCCATTAAGCGCAGCTTCCGCAAGGAAAATGGGTGAAAAAAGGAGTGTGGGTATGCGCCGGAAAGTAGGCTACACAAGTCAGTAGGTCACAGACATGAAAGCAGCTGTTGTCGATGACAGGCCCCTCCCCTCCTCGGTCCGCCCCGTTTGCCAATGCCCGTGGGGCCCAAAGCCATACCAGAACCCTCTCACACCATCCAATCCCAATCCCATTCCCACTTGGAGGGGGGAGTCGTCCCCGTTGATGGGTGGCTGTCCCCGCAGGGCAGCCGAAGGAAGCATTTTTTTCTAGCCACTCCGCGCCTGGCATTTTCTTCGGAATTTTATTGCGAATGCTTTTGGGCTCATTTTGCTAACCGCCTTTTGCCTGCCATCCTGCCAAAGTTCACCTTTAGTGGCATTTTTAAGAACGCCAGAGCTTGTCCAATATCTTGCGTTGACTCAACCTGTCAGCTAGAGGCCAGAGCGTTGGGGGAACTTTCTCATTTCGGCAAGTTTATCCCATTTTTATCAATAAAGGGCTTGAAAGTTTCTGCGGTTGCAGCGAAACCTTGAGGATTTACTTTTAGCATAAATTAATGAGCGAAACTTGGTAGCATTTTTGAGCCAAAGTTGTTTCCCCAAGTTATTAATATGCCGGTAAATCGCTTAAGAAAACTAAACTAATTTGTGGCGAAAAATAAAGTTTGTTGAGGACTAAAAGTATTTGTTATATAGAAAAACTAAAACTTAATAAAATGAAATTGATTAAATGCATTTGAAATATTTTACTTGTTAGTTTTTATTCTTTTTGCTTAAAGAGTACAGAAAATATATAAGTATAAGGTCCCTTTTTCTTGTTTATTTTTCTTAGAATTGTACGCCAGAAACCTCAGCTGTTCTCTTACTGACAAAGCAAAGCAACCCCTTTCTGGCCGGTTACTAACCCTTCAATTAGAAGTTTATTTGTTCGCAAGCCATTTTCCAATTTAAGCATAAATTATTCATATTGCGTATACGCCCCATTGGCAACACTTGAACTAGCACAGAGAGCCGAGCGGTACAAAACGTTCGTTCGATATAGCAAAATTACATGCCAGTGACGACGACGACGATGACAATTGCGAAATTATAAAGCAGGCGAAAAGCCATTAAAGGACATAACATTCCCAGTGTTGCCATTCTCTGGCGAAATGAGTCCTCGTCCTGGTACCCGTTGGTGTCCTCACTCCGATCCTGCTTGTCTGCTGCATTAAGCTCACGACGTGCAATAATCTGAACAATTGTAGTTTATGCCTTAATTTCTGTTTGCGTACATGTTTTATGGCCACGTTTCCGTTCCCGCGCCCGCACTTGGCCCCCTTGTTCGGTCGCCTTAATTACATTTCTCGTGTCTGCTCCACTCTTTCGTGGTTGTCTCCTGCTTTGTTTTATAACTTTTTTCAGTCATTTTCCCCATCCTTGGCTGACTGTCTGTGACGTCTGCTCTACACAGGGAAAATATGTTTATTTTTTTTAAATAGAAAAAGAAAACTTTCAGCAGAAATCAGATGTAGTTAATAGAATTTCATTTAACTTTGATTTCCTTGATCTGGAAAATGAAGACATAAAAGTTTAATACTGAATAAAAAAATATAAGGCATATTTCTTGGTATCCCATTCTTTGCTGTGCAAGGATGCCACCTCCTTGAATGTGTTTTTATGAGTAAGTCAGTAGTTAAGTAGTCCTGGCTTTTGTGTTGTCGCTGCTTCTCTGGCAGCGGCTCATAACTCAATTACAAAGCATAACGGATTTTCATTGCTCGCACGAATCTCGCATAAAAGCGAAAAACTTTGATAAATGTGGGGAAAGTTAACTGGCCTTTCTTGGCGGCTTTTTACAGCTCTTTTTGTTCGTCACTTGCGACTATTTCGTGTTTATGTTTATTGGTCGTCACCGTCTGTGTGTGTGAATGGTCCACATAAAATGTCACCAATGTTGACAGTAAACAAAAAAGTTTTTCGGCACTGCAAAAGTGTCTCCCAAATGTATCGTGGGCATAGGGCCAATCTGAAAGGACCATAAATTAAACCTTTTTGCCTCTGGCCAACACACACATACACAGGGAAACTAAAGTAAAATAAAGCGAGAGAAGAAAGCAAGGGATAGTAAAATGGAAGCTAAGAGAAAGACCGATTTTCAGCTGAGACCCAAAAAAAAAAAAACAGAAACAAAAAATCCATATTTTAAAGTCAAGTCCAGCAAATTCAACAAAATGAAGTGTTTGACTGGCTTTATATTTTGTGTAAGGTTAAAATCAAGTTCAAAGCTTACAAAATAAATACAAAAAATAAATTACACAACAAATAATACTTCACGTACTTAATATATTCTTTATTTTATTAAATTGTATTTAATTTGAGATCAAAATATTACTTTAAATGAAATTCCAGAAATTCTATATTTCTTCTTAAAAATCACTTGCTTCTTCCTTAATAAGTAGATGGTTTCCTTTAATTTGTTTTGAATATCCTATAAACTTTTTTGAGAATAAAAAATGCCTTTCCTTAAAAATTGTATACAAAAATTCCCTTGCTCCTTTTCCTAAGAATATTTCATCTAATGCTAATTTCTATTGTCCCATAACTAGCACACGACAGATGCCATTACTATAGATTATCTCCGCATCGAGCATTGGGGACATCGGAGACCAAAATAAATTGAAGTCGGCACAAAGGGCCACCTACATTTTGGCTGATTTATTTTATGGCTCCCTGGGCAGTGGAAAAACCAGAAACAGCAGCGACAGAGGGACACCATTAAAGTTCGCAACCGGAACCCAAATAGAAGTTACAAAGTCCAGAAAAAAAAAAAAAACAACCACAAACTAGACAACTCACCTCCAACAACTACGGGTCGGTGCCTTAATCCTTTCGGCAAACTTTCGACCAAAAAAAACAAAAACTTAAACCGGCAGCAGATTTGTCACTTTTTCTAACGTATTTATTTTTTTTTCTCGGAAATACTTTTGGCCGCACTTTAACACTTGGCAAGACGGGAGGACCTGTTAGTCCGCCCAAGAACACTCACTCACACGGCACAAGCCCTATATAGGCCCACTGGCATATTGGCACATTCTCAACATTCCCCGAGATCCATATACGTCCGTGTTGCCACATTAACCATTAGCCATTGGCCAGGTCCGAATCCGATTCCGATTCCGATGCCCTTCCGAAGCCTTCCAGCAGGTTCCTGCCGCACGCACGTCCACAAGCGAACTGAAAGCTGAACGCAGCGCGCAGCCTGCCAAAAGGACATGCCGTAGCGGTCCCTCGTGTCCTGCGAGTTCGGGGAGCCCGGAGCGCTTCGGCTAGGCCAGGATGCTGCCGGATGAAGTTGCCGAAGGACCAAGAGCGGAGCTTTGCCTCTCAATCTCTGGCAGATGTGGTGAATAAAATTCGGCAAGGCACTGGAAATAATTTTGAGAAGAAAAATAATTGTTAAATAATTATAATTGACTTTAACAGGAAATGTAAATTAGATTTATGTATTTTTTATACATAATAAATAGTTTGTTAGACTTCAATAATTATTTTAACAACTCCCATTTGTTAAAATATGAGTTTTATAAACAAACAACAAGCAGACACACAGCTTTAAATTGCCGTTAAAAATATGAAAAAAAAAAAAAAATATTGCGTTCAATAACCTTTTGCACAATCACGCTGAAATATCGTCAACACGAAAATATTAATTAATATTCTATTTAACGGCAGTGCCAATATCAAGCAGCAATCAGGTGAATTCAAGTGGCAATCTTGACAAAAATCCAGTTTCCTCATCAAGACCAACTACATTCCAATAATAGTTGAGGCTCTTATTAAAAAACGAAGAAAAAACCAATCAAAACGAACAACAAGCAGCGAATCGAGCAGCAGCCCAGCAACTAGTTAAAATTAAAATATCAATGCAAATATTCTGCTGCTGCTGACAGCTTTTAATAAATGCACAGACAGATCTCAGCAGATGCGGCGGAGTGGGTTCCCGTTCCCCTCCCAATCGGGAAAAGGCGAAAAGTTCTAATCAACACACGGAAGCGGGGCGGCAGCTTCTGAGGGGAGCTCTTAACATTCGACCAATCAAGGCAGATAAGCGGCCGAGATCTATGTTAACCATGTACCGCTGTTAACATGGCCAACAGCGGCGACAAGTGCGGGTTAATTAATGCGCCAAAATGAAGTTCTCTCTTACGTGCAAGGTGTCTCTCTTAGGTACGAGGTTATACGTGACACGATAATACACAAATGTGTTAATAATATTTTGTATTTTGAGCAAAATTTCAGTTTAATTTAAATTTCTCTTTAAATTTCCACAAAATTTTCTCCCAGTTTAGCCACGAAGATCTATCCCTTAGGTGAGCTCTATTGTTAATTATAGAGTAATCACCAACTTATATGATATATCCCCAATTATTTTCCAGCTCGTGACACGTTCGCATCTCAAAGTCTCACTCGTTTTCGCTCTCTTAGCCGATCGTATGGACGCGTTATCAGCTGCCGAAGCAGTCGAAACGAACGGGCCAAAAGGGTCGAGTCTTCGTCAGTGAACTGGGCTAAAATCACACTCAGTTTTAGCACGTTTTCTTCAGCCGGCAACGTCGTTGGCTATCTTCAAAAGCGCCTTAGCTGCATGCGGCGCGAGTTAGTTGCGGTTTAAGCGGCGATCGGTAAGCATCTGGCTAAGAAAACGCTCCGAGGCGATCCCTTTTTCGAGAAGTTGTAAAGGACTTTGTCCCACGAGTGATTCGAACCCGGGCGAAATTCAAACCAGACCCTAATCTGGTTGGACGCCATAAAATTCGGCCGCGTCGGTGCTAAGCAAATAGTATTTTTGTGATATCATAATGCCCAGCCAGAGTCGTGTGATAAGTGAATAAACTCACCTGGGATAAAGCCAATAGAGCGCGAACTGAGTAACACAATTCACGTATGTCATAAATGTTTTAACTGTGGATCCATAAACATTTCATAAACAGAAACTTTGATATAACTAAACACAGTCCCGACGGTGAAGATAATTGTGGCGAAATTTTGCTTTGCAATATGAAATTATTGAATTATAATAATTTTTACCAGTAGAGCAGAGCAGCAGTGACTTTAAGGATGTGAGGGGAGTTTATTGATCCATGTTACGATGAGATGTTGTTTTAAATAAATGGTGAAATAATTTTATCTTAATAAACAAGAGGATAGCGAAATTTGTTCCATTGTTTGAAAACCATGTAAAATCTGTTGGCAATAAAAAGCTTTTAAATAAAAAATACAAATACCTTGTTAATAGAACTGGAGCATTATTTTTAATACCTTGAATTTAAAAGTAAAATCAGTAAACATTAAATGATTCAATTGTGTGTTTCCTTTTTGTTTATTAGGCTGCAATTATTATCAATTTTTGATAAGTTTCTAAGAATTCATTCCAAGACTATATTTTAAAAAATAATTTTTAAATAATTTATAAACACTGCTGGTTTCATATTCAATCCAGAAAATATACTTATAAAAACCTTACATTTAAATCAATAAAACAAATGAAAAATAAATAATCTTGACACTTTAAGTAGAACCCATAAATTCAAATAAATCAGGTCTGTATACTTTTTTCTAACAAAAGTCACTACAAAGCCCCTCAAATACCTACCAACCTCACTGTCAAGCACTTACAAACGGCCTTGACATTGAAAAAAAATCTCATAAATCTCTTGGCTAGCCGTTGAAAAATAATTGCTTGAGTCCATAGAGATTCTAATCGGCAGCAAGAAAAATCTCTTAAAATTAATCTTTGAAAAGCATGATTCACAATACATAAATTACCGTCGAATTATAATTTTTTTTTTTGTGGCGAAACATAAACAAATCTAAGAGATATGTTTTGGGTTTTGTTCCCCGCCACACTGTTGCCTTTTTCCACGTCGGCACGTAACCCAAAGTTTGTTTTGATTTCGACTATTGTGTTTGGTTTCTTTGTTTTGGTCTTACGGTTTGCGGGCTGTAATGAAAAGCACATAACCACCGCCTCTTGCAAGACTGGTTCTGGCCAAAAACCGGCTGACCGTGGCCAGAACCGGGATGTGATGTGTGTTGTGTCAGGGATTTCCCAAGGAGAAATCCAGGCAGGGAATCCCCAATTGGCAATCGCAACGGGCAGCTCCGGCCCAGCGATAAGCCGCTTAAAAAATCTTCCATTCCGTCTTCGCTTTTGGCCACATTTCACTCTCCTCTTGGCCGCCTACCCCAACATCACATATGTGGCCAACAAAGAGATCAAAAATGCGGTCAAGCGGCATCAGCTAATTGTTGTCAAATAAATGGTCGAGCAGGGAAGATACTCGTTAAAAAACGGTCTCAAATAAATCAAATTACTATAAACGAGCTCGATAATTATATGTAAAAACGTGAAACGGAAAACACTTTAAGTATTATGCAACTTTTTACGAACGTGTGATTTGGTAGTATGTACAAAAAAATAAACACTCTCCGCACACACAAAACACCAAAGGCAATTAATGAATGTATAAAAACAAACTTTGCATAACAACAATTTCTGATTGATTGTCCGAGAAATTTAGTGCTTGCAGAAAGAAATTGCCCATTAAATGAATCAACAAATAAGATAAAGTTAATCTGATTGGGTTCAATCAATGAAAGATAAAGGGAGACCCCGCAGAATGTCACTGGAAATGGGAAACCAGATTAAATAATATGGAATTTGTTAAAACAAGAGCACACTTGAAGCTCCACTTGAATAAGTTGTATTTGGTTTGCAGCTCAAGTGGGTACTTCAAACTATTTTTATTAAATTAATGTTCTTGTAATTAATAAAAAAATATATACATTTTAAATTTATTGTTTTGTTTTGATTACTAATATTTTCTCTGGATTTTAATCTATGTAAATTGTCAGAGGGGGAACTCCAGCTACTGTGGTCACTCAAGAGGAACCGAAACCCGACCCATCAGAAAATCTATTTTACAGCTAAACAAAAATATATACATATTCATTAGATCACCGCAAAAGTAGAACTTTATTCGCTCGGAATTCACCTGGTGCCAACTTTAAGGGAATACCCTGTTGGGATTTCATTGGCACCATGAGTAAGAGGTCCATCCACGTGACTCTGACCCTGGGGAATCAAAGATGCATTTTAATTAAAGTGATTGTGTCAGTGGGTATTAGGAAATTGACAAGCGCGTAATCAAAACGTTTAGTCATGTCAGCAAAAAAAGTAAATACCGGTCAGAATCGCTTTAGATATCTGAAAGATGATCAGAATTAATTGTCCCGCCAGTCTCGGAGCCCTAATTATGAAAAATCATTCACTTGTCATCGGGCAAATATTTGAAAATTGATTAATTATGGGTTTTGAATGAGCCAAGAGACTTGATCATTAATTAATATTCTAGTTCCGCCTGGGAGCAAAAGTTTTTTATTCAATATTAAAATTACCCACTAAATGCTTATATCTTTTTAATGAGTTTTTATTGAATTTACGTTGTTTTTTCGGTGTTTTTTTCCCCCAGACTTAAATGAAGTGCCACGTAGGCGGGCACTTAATTCCTAATTAACGGAAGTGCGTTTAGGGCCTGGAGCCCTCAAGGTACTCGCTGTTCATAAATCTTTAAGATGCTTTAAGTGTTGCCAAAATAAAAGTGGAAGTCATGGGGACAGACAGCGGAAGCTCTCTCAGGGAAAGTTTTAAATAATTCAAAGAACAAGGAATGCTCTTTAATAATCTACATAAATTTTACTACCAAATTAGTTAAGTTAATTTAAATATGGATGTAGGAAAAACTGAGACAGGTAAAACTTTATGGGGAATACCGTTCTTAAGTTATAAAAACTACTTTAAATGTAATTAATAATCCTAAATATAAATTTAAATACCCAGAAAACACTTACTTATTATTTCTTAATATATACATTATATTTTAGAAATTATTAGAGACTTGAGTCAACCTGTTTGATGATTTCAAACAACTTCCTTCGGTAGGATAACTTTTACGTCGCCCATAAAGAAACCTTGATGTGTATGAAAAATGCCTAACGCAATTTCTTTCGTATTTTCCTCGGCGGCATAATTTCTGTGTTTTTTTATCTCCCCTGTTCATAATTTATGCGCAGCTTTCTTTATATGGCCCTGTCTGTGCCTCCGTGGATTCCGCCGGACTTTGGCTTTTGGACACTGGACGTGAGCAGCTGCCTCCGGCTGCCTGTATGTCTGTGTGTGTGTGCTTAAGGAACAGCGTGCTAATTAATTAAATTTGTACGTGCTGTATGCGTGTGTGTGTGTGATGCGAGTGTCTTGAGTTGCTGGCCATGTGCTGATAGGACCAAAAACACAAGCGCACACTCGCACGAACGAAAGGAACGCCTGGCACCACGGAGCGTATGAGTGATATTTACAGGCAGGCCGTAAATCATACTTAACTTAATATACAATATATTCCCTCATATGTTTGCCCTTTTCGGCCATGTGCGTGCTCCATCCTTTCGGAGCGACGAGGTCAATAAAAGGATGCTCGGCCGATATATGTGGGCACAGGGTTAGAGGAGAGATTTCCATTGATTGAGTTTGGAAAGGAGGTCGGAATGAGATGAACAATTTGTGTAATTGTTATTGTTAATATTGTTAATGGGAAATGAACTTGATAAGGCAGGAGAAGGATAATTAATTAAAGGAATTTGCAACGAGTAGCCTACAAATATATTTAATAATGTTATTTTATCCACAATTATTGGGAAATGTCAGAGTCTATAAAGTAGAAGGTAGAAATATACATACCTATAATCCCGATTTCCAAGCCTAACTAACCTTGAACCAGGGCACAGTTTATACACCATATACCTCACAATTGACACCCATAAAAATATTGAAACAATTTTTAAGGCAGAACAACTCGTTTTATAAACAATCAACGAGACCATCTGCCAAGCCCCACAAATATACATAATTGGTACAATAAGAACGAAATGCCAATACAATTTGGGATTAAATGCTGTCATCAGCCAGCTGAATAAATACATATTTTATCCATATAATAACCATATTAAGTGTAATTGAAGTTCTGGCCCCAACTTGTACTAATAATAATAGTCCATGTTCATTTTATTTGTCTCGTTTGCAGGCAATTTGTGGTACAAAATCAACAACAACTTCCGCATAGCAATTCCATAACTCCCAAAAATATTCAATAATAAAAATCATTCCCCAGCAAAAAAATAGAGAATTTTGGCGAGCAACAATCGGAATTAAAACAATAACCGTAAATTGAATAGCGTAAGCCATAATTATGACCAAATGAGCCGCTGGCCCGCAGCAAAACCAACAACAATAAAATCTAAAATACGAGAAAGAGCCACCAGCAACCACGAAATGCGGCTTATTAACAGGAGATTAACAGCCACGCAGATGTTAACAGCAGCCTTAGCAGTGCTGCTACAGTTTGCGAGTCATGCCAGTGGAGCTCAAACTGTAAATCTGTCAGCAGGTGAGAATAAGTTTAGATTACATTTAAAATTATTTTTTTAATAAAGATATTCGTTTTAAAAAATTATAAAAGAAAAAGTAGGATTTGTGCGTATTAAAATAATTTATTATTTTATAAACTAGGCCTATATATTGGTTGAAATATGTTCATTTTAAATTTCAGAAATATTTATATAGGAAAAAAAATTTCTCAAAATAATGATTTAAGCTTTAATAGATTTTTAAATACATTTGTTACTTTTAAAGCCATTTTTAAACTCACTAACCACGAGTTTTTGAATAAAATTGATTAGCTTAAAACACATTATTCATAAGAAATTACATTTTATTATAATATTTCTATCAAACAGAAACTAATTATATTTATTTCTATCAGTGTATACCTCTATTACCTCAGTCATTAGCGTACAGAAGCTTCACTTGGCCAATTAAAAGGTCTTGACCTTGGCCAACATTAGTGCCGGCGTAAACATTAGCACCGAGTAAAAATATACACCCGTACGGGTATCTTTCTTTAGACAATGTAAACGTGAATTGCCAGTCATATGCGAAAATTCAAGTACCGGCCCACCTGGCGGCATGTGAATTTGCGTAAGTCCGGCAAATAATCAGGCGAGTGCTTGGCTGATGGTTAAAACAAACATCGGCGGCGGTAGGCAATCATAATAATGGCCATAACGAGCCAATAAACGATGCAGCCCACCGTTGGAAGCCGCTCGGACACACACCCACTCTCTCCCCCCTCCGAAAAGCAGTCAATAAACGCGGCCTTAATGCGTAACTGACAGACAGCTCCGCCTAACGGAGCCGGCTATATGCGATACGTAGTACGTGCAGCGCCTCCTCTCCTCCCATATATTATAATTTATATGCCAAACAGATGCTGACATCGCCCAGTCTCCCTTAAAAAAAAAGTGAAACGAGGAGGAAAAACAAAAAGACATCCCAACCAGGATGAGCTTGAGGTCCCATATGCCAGTGGCTCATATTTCATTTCACGACAAAACTGTTGATTTGCTCATGAATAATGCCTTTTGTTATTGAAGAACTTTTAAAGTCTGCTCTTGGTATGAGAGAATTCTTCAAAGTCTTGTGAATTTTTTGTTTTAAAATTTGCTTAGTAATAAATTTAAATACTTTAAAGTTTTATTCACCATTGTCTTTTGTTTATATACGTTAATTGTGTAAAAATTTCATGGAATTTCTTCGGTTTTTAAGGTTTTTGCTGGGATAAACTTTGTTAGTAGTTTGTTTTTAATTGAAATTAAACATTTTGCTGGTGGTTTTGAGTTTTGATAACTCTTTTACAACCCTTTTTAAAAACTTTAATATATTTCAAAGCCTCGATATAATTATTTTATACTTCATTGAGGGTAAAATTAAGTTTATTGCCTAATAATTATATTCGTTTTATTTTAATTACTCGAAAAGCTGTTGTGTTTCTTGGAAGCTTAACAAATACCATCTTATCATCTTATCTGATTCTTAATCACATCGTGTCGATGGCTGTCGTAAAGGTAATTGTTTTTTGATGTGAGTGTATTTTTAGCTGTGATTTCCCAAAAGCAAGTAGTCAGGCGCTGCAAAATATTCTTTTGGTTCGTGATGTTGATCACAAACTGCAAAATACACTGTAAGTAGTTGCCTAAGTTAAGCCGCTTTCATGGTCAGCCAAGTTTATGGGCCTGTAAAGATTAGCCAAACACCTAAATTACCCATAGATCCGATTGTGAGCTAATGCCACCTCATGCCACATTGACAAAGGGCAATTACCGACCACTAACTGGAATAAAGGAAATTAAAAAAAACGGGTCAGTTCACCCAACTCGATCCGGATCTCGATGGCATTTTAATTTGCATTCTAACGCCCTCTTGACTCTGTTCTAATTAACATACGAATGTCTACACCTGTCGTATTCCTCATGAGCAATCACAGTCTGATCAATGTCAGGTGAAATTTATGAGACACAACGTGGTAAAGCAAGAAGATTTATCAGCAAATAGAATGCATTAAATGTCGAGTCAGAAATAAGAATAAAATATAACTAATATTACAATAAACAATCTTTACAAAAACTGGTTTATATACATACTAAAAAAAACTAACATAGGATGCCCAACGCAATTCTCACTTTCATTATAATTCACACATGTCGCCTATCCAGGGGGGTGATTCAGAACACGTTAATTCCAAATCACTCTCCGGGTTCAAGGCACCTGAAGCCAGGCTATTAGCACCTGTAACGATCATTTATGAACTAATAATAGCACTTTGGAGATCGCAGACATATAAAAGAATGCACAAGTGCGAAAAATAATGCCATACATTCATTTAAATCTGCTATAAATTTCGGAATCGTCGCAGGCGCGTGATATTCCGCCAAAAAAAAGAAGAAAACAAAGACGACAACAATTGTTTTGGCCTTAAATTCTTTGTATTTATCTTTTCTTTTCGGCCTTTTTTGTTTATGGCCACGTGAATTATATTTACGTGGGGCTTAATGCCACTAAACAATTGTTTGTCAGGGCAAACACGAACAAAGCCGAATAATTGTCTGAACAAAATTTTCCTTGAGGTGTCAGAGCTTTTGTTTAATAACCCATTTGGCAGTAAATCTAATTATGTTTTCATTACAAAAGGGTATACACATGCCCTTTCTTGTATATGATTTTTGAAATATATATTTTTACCAATAGCATTATTTGTCTTAATCATTAATTCTTTAAAACTAAATAAAATGTATTTACAAACTTTTTTTAAATTATAGAAAATACCATATGCCTGTACCAAGAACACAACACCACCTACCGCAAGGAGCTTGGAGCTGTATGGTTTGAGGCCAAAGATCCTTGTTTGGTTTACTCCTGTGCCGCAGGTGTGGCCAAGGATCCGCAGGCTCACATTGTGGTTACCCAGGTTGATTGCAATGAGTTCTACTGCGAAGTGGTTAGTAATTAATCTAAAATCTTTCTCTTAAAATAGTTTCTTAATTAAAAATTCCCCACTCCCAAGGGTTCTGAGCTTCGCAGTGCCGAAGGCAGCTGCTGTGGGGAATGTGTAAGGACCCACTGCCAGCACAACCATACCCTCTATGCTGTTGGAGAGTCCTGGCATAACGATGCCGACTGCACTCTCCTCGAGTGTGGACGCCTGGAGAATGGCCAGATCATCATTAACACCTACAAGAGAAGTTGCCAGCCACTGACAGAAGACTGCCCTGCCTCGAGGCTTGAGAATAAGAACTGCTGTCCCTACTGTAGACCCCAGAAAGCGTCGAGGATTGAAGACCTACAGGAAGATGAGGCTGAATCCTCGGATGATATATGGACAGCTGAGTGGTATCGCCAGCATCCCTGCAACCGGGACTGCCAGGTGGGAGCCAAGTCCATGACCTGTCACTACACATTCGTGGTAGAATGGTATCAGACCTTCTCGAAGGCCTGCTACGACTGTCCCCGAAACCTCACCGACTGCTCCCGGCCGCACTGCATCATGGGCGATGGCTTGGAGCGGAGCATAACTGTGGTGAATCGCATGATGCCTGGACCGTCGATCGAGGTCTGCGAGGGCGATCAGATCGTGGTGGACGTGAAGAACCATCTGCTGGGGGAGAGCACCTCCATCCACTGGCATGGACTGCACCAGAAGAAAACGCCCTACATGGACGGGGTGCCGCACATCACTCAGTGTCCGATTACCCCGCACGCCAGCTTCAGGTACTCCTTCCCTGCCGATCTCTCCGGCACACATTTCTGGCACTCGCACACCGGCATGCAGCGCGGAGATGGTGTCTTTGGTGCCCTGATCATTCGGAAGCCCAAGATAGCCGAGCCCCACGGCAGCCTTTACGATTTCGATCTGAGCGAACATGTGATGACGGTCCAGGACTGGATACACGATACGGGTGCCAGCATATTCTCCTTCCACCACCACTCCCGAGGCGACAACAAGCCCCACAATCTGCTCGTCAACGGAAGGGGACGTTACTACAACCGCATTTGGGCGGAGGCCAAGCAGGTTCATCGAAGAACTGAGGAGAGGACAACGCAGCCCCTGGATCCTCTGCCCAAGTCCCAGGTGGATTTCGTTCAGACTCTGCCGCGTCAAGCGCGTCTGGCGAGGAGCAACAGCACCAAGCTCTTCCCCGTACATTCGCGCCAGAAGAGGGGCAACCTCAACGAGATTCCGCTAGAACTCGTTCCTCATCAGGTTTATAATGTGAGAAGGGGCTTCCGCTACCGCTTCAGGATTATAAATGCGGAGTACCTCAACTGCCCAATTGTGGTTTCGGTGGATGGTCACAACCTAACGGCGATCAACTCGGATGGCTTCGACATCGAGGCAATGGAGGTGGGCTCGATTGTTACCTATTCCGGTGAGCGATTTGATTTTGTGCTGAATGCCAACATGGAGGTGGGCAACTATTGGGTCCGCCTCAAGGGCTTAATGGACTGCAGCGAGGTTTTCACCTCTGCCTTCCAAGTGGCCATCCTCCGCTATGAGGGTGCTCCCGATGAAGAGCCCACGGCGGCATTGAGTTACGCCCACAAGGCCGAGGGCATCGAGCTGAATGTGATGAACCGCGGTCCTGGGTATCCGGACACCAAGACCGTGGCCGAAATGAGGGCCCTGCCCATCTACGATCACGTGTCGGGGATTGATCACGATACCCTCAAGCCGGAGGCCGACTACAAGTTCTTCATATACTATGACTTTTACACGAAGAACAATCCCGACTTCCATGACAAGGACCTGTATGCCATGGACATGGAGATGACGCAGCAGAACCGCCTTTATACACCCCAGCTGAATCACATAACCCTGAAGTTTCCGGCTATGGCACTGCTTCCCTCGAGGAGCCAACTGAAGGACTCGGACTTTTGCAACGAAACCAGTCTGGCGGAACAGGGCATCGACTGTCGAACGCAGTTTTGCAAGTGTCACCACGTCCTCCAGGTGCCCCTGGGTGCAGTCGTCGAGCTGATCATCGTGGACGAGGGCTTCCAGTACTATGCCAATCATCCCTTCCACTTGCACGGCAATGCCTTCAGGGTCATGGGATTGGAGCGACTGGGCGAGAATGTAACCATTGAAATGGTGAGTTTTTAAAAATCTCTAGCCTCTTAAGCTCTTTTAAATTACTTTTTTTCTAATTTTAATCAAATAAAAATATACTTTCAGATCAAACAACTCGATCAGTTCAATTTGCTCAAACGAAACCTCGTGAATCCTCCAGTTAAAGATACGGTGACCATACCAGATGGCGGTTACACCATCATCCGATTTGAGGCCTCCAATCCCGGCTATTGGCTCTTTCACTGTCACATCGAGTTTCATGCTGAGATCGGCATGGCTTTGGTCTTCAAGGTGGGCAACGATGATCAAATGGTTCCGGTGCCTGATAATTTCCCCACCTGCGGCGACTACAATCCAGATTTGAAATCGGATGGTGAGGTAACGGAAGACAACGCCAAACCCACAACTGGGACCCCATCAAATACAGGAGGCGGAGGTTCAGGATTGGAATCTAGTATAATAACTTTGATCGTTGGTCTTCTGCTGTTAAAGTTCCATTAAAAGAGGCGAAGAACCCTTGAGAAAGAGAGCACAACCCCAAACTTGCCAAATTATAACTTAGAGATTATTTATTGAAGACAAGTGGATTCCTGCATTTGTATATATTCCATAGCATCGTTTGTAGCCTAAACATCTGTGATTGTCTAAGAAAGTGTTTTTAAATAAGCTCTTTGAAACCATAATAAATGTACGTTAATCTTTTTTTAAGAATATATGGACGAGATGTTTTTAATTGGGATGCAAAGGCATTTGAAATTTTATTTATAATTTTCTTATAAAATGATTCATTTAACATAAAATCTCTGGGTCTATATATCCCTTAAAATCCCTATATATCCCCCAAAACTGATGCAACTTCTTCTGAGAATTGCAGCACTTACCTGCAATTAAAATGTGACATTTTCTTAATGAGGAACACCTCGCCCAGTAGATGATACATTGTGTCAGGTGGCGAGAGATCATAGCTATGCCAACGCCAACGCCCTCGGCTGCATCGATAGCGATCTTATCTGGTACCCACTGGCAACAGCTGGTGACGAACTTGTTGTCGTCTTTTCCAAGCTCCGAGGTATCAACGCCTCTGCAGGGACCTGATCTCCGACCCCTGACCCTGGGCGAAGATAGCCGAAATGATGGCGATGTTATTGCATTCCGCGGGGCAAAGTAATCTAGACAGATGCGCCGGACATCTGGAGCGGGCATCCGGGATATTATATAAGCGCAGTCACCAGCTGGGAATCAGTCAGACGGAGTCAGTCAGCCATTCCATTGCAGTCCAAGTCCAAGTCAAAGACAATTAAAATCCAATCAACATGTTCGACTGGACCGGTAAGAATGTCGTCTACGTGGGCAGCTTCAGCGGCATCGGCTGGCAGATGATGATGCAGCTGATGCAGCAGGACATCAAGATGATGGGCATCATGCATCGCATGGAGAACGTCGAGATGATGAAGAAGCTGCAGGCCATTAATCCCTCCGTCAAGGTCGTGTTCATGCAGATGAATCTCATGGACAAGATGTGCATCGATCAGGCCATGAAGAAGATGGGCCAGATGATGGGCCACTTTGATGTGATGATCAATGCTGAGAATGTCCTGCTCGACAAGGATGTGGAGACGACGATGGGCATGAATCTGGTAAGATTATGTCCTTTCCTTATTGTTGGTTTTTACATAATATTTTTTTCCACTTTACTCTTTAGACTGGCATGATCCAGGCCACGATGATGGCCATGCCATATATGGACAAGACCCAGATGGGCATGGGTGGCATGGTGGTCAACATGGCTTCTGTCTACGGCCTGGAACCTGCACCCGCCTTTGCTGTCTACGCCGGTGCCATGCACGGCGTCCTGGGCTTCACCCGCTCCATGGGGGATAAGATGATCTACCAGAAGACCGGCGTCATGTTTATGGCCATGTGCCCGGGCCTCACCAACGGTGAAATGATGATGAATCTGCGCGACAACGTGACCTGGCACCACTCCGAGTCCATGGTGGAGGCCATGGAGAGTGCCAAGCGCCAGATGCCCGAGGAGGCTGCCATGCAGATGATCAAAGCTATGGAGATGATGAAGAATGGCAGCATGTGGATCGTCAATATGGGACAGCTGAAGGAGGTGATGCCCACAATGCACTGGCAGATGTAAACTAATAAAGATTGCCGAAATTGAGAGACAAATCTTAGTTTTTTTTTAATTCTAGAAAACATTAGTAATAACTGAACACTTTTGGTTTAGAAAAGTAAACTGTGAAGTCCTATCACAGTAGACTTTTTCTAATATATCCAGCCCATATCCCTCGTTCACTCATAATCATTCGAAGCCTCGCATAGAGCAGACTGATTTTCTTTGGATCTGAAAAACAAACCAAGTACAAAATTTCAATACTTTTCTATATATATAAATTTTAATAGTCAAAATAGTATTTAATTTTGTAACAATGCCCCGCAAAAACAACAATCGCGATTCCAAATCCATTGATGCTTGCGTCTACTGCGGCGAGTATGTGCGGCCAACCGATAGAACTCCGCGTCAGAAAATCCCCAAATCTAAAGTCCCATTACCAAAATCTGTACAACAAATATTAAACGCTAGGATCCGAAAACTCAAGAAGCTGGCCGAGAAGCCAAAGCCTTATCGGATCAGACGCCACCGGTTTCCCAAACGAAAGCCCAAAAAGCAAGTTCAGCCGCCGACAAAAGCCAGTAACGAGACTTGTGCCGAGGCTCCTCTCAGCCAACCCTGGCAGAGGGACGCCCCCGTGATGGCCTTGCAAATGGGAGCCACGCCTGTGGAGGGTGAGCTTTCCCCAATGTTCAAGGGACTCATTCTAGGACTTAGTCTATGCACAGGACGTTATCAGGAGCTTGGTGTGGCAGCTGGGGTAGTGCCACCAATGAATTTGGATCAAAATCAGGACCTCCTACAGACAACGTCAACGCCTGGAAGTCAAGCGCAGGGATCGAATAATGCTTTTCTAGCCTCCGAAAATTCTTCCCACGAAGCTCGCAATTCTGCAGTCATCGAATGTCCCTCACAAAGTCGTCAATGGCCTCCAGGCTTGCCCGATCAGCCAGAATGTCCTGCCCAAATCATTAATCCGAAAAATATCCAAACCCAAACCGATTCTCAGTGGAGTCTTAATTCGACTATAAACCTGATTCAAGAGCCAGATTCTTCTCACCTTGGTAATAAACCAATCTCAATGCAAGAGGATGATCCGATGCTGAAACCAGACGAAGACCCTGTTCGAAAGTCTGAATCATGCGTTAATGAGAAAAGTCGGCAAGGTCAGATTGGAGAGCCCCATACTATTGGGGACTGCCAGTCCCAATCCCATCAAAATCAATAAACTGAATTTCTTATTTGTATAAAATACAATTTTATAATTGCTAATAATCACAGCATACTTTAATGTGGGTACTTTGTACTTTAAGGTACTGCTACCACCTGAGATTCAGTCTAATTACAATTATTCTCGTCCATCCTCTTTTTAAGCTCTGCGGCAAAGTCCGCCTTATTGTAGCTGGAGTTGCGGCGAATAAACTCATCCAAAATCTTCGCCTGGCACTGACCCACCTCCAGTACGGATCGCCAGTCGGCGACATTTACAGGTTCCACCTGATTCTCCAGTGGAGCAAACGGCGGCTTTGTCGGGCAGTCATAATGAAGGGAGTGAGCCCGCTCACTCCTTGAGCCATGGATCACATGCCGGCAAACGGCGCACTCGAACTTCTCAAAGAGGGATCCGCCCGGCGAGGAGTCGCCAATGTGATACTGTCGCTTAGCGAGGTTGAGGAGCAGCCACTCATTTGAGATGGGACTCTGCGTATTCAGTTTGTGGCTCCGATACGAATCGTACTCTGTTTGGTTTTTTGCCAACTTGGTTAAATACTCGGCCAAGGCACGCGGATTGGGGAAATCGTTTACATAAATGGCAGACTTGTTATTCGGCTGCCAGTCCTAAAAAATAAAAATTAAGTAAAGTTGTATGATTATATAGTACAAAAACAGACTTACTTTAATAGTGGGTGAACCAAAGTAAATGGGCACGACGCCTATGACCAAGGGGCGCCAGAACTTCTCAGTTATATAGTCGGGACAGGCAGCGTTTTCGATGGCTATCATATACTTGTACGTGGACAGGAACTTCAATAGCTCTGGCGAATACAGATTGTTGAGGTAATCCTTATTCAGACTGAAGAAAAGGATCATGAAGATAACTAATTTGAATTCAAAGGGCTCTACTTGCCTCTCCAGCAGATCATTGTTCTTCAAGCAGCCGCCGAAGGAATCAACCTGCATATATTTCATTAGCTCAGTCACATAATCCTCCCGTCCGGACATTGTATCACAATCGGTCTGCAGGAACACTATCTGTGCCGACGGGTAGACCTTAGATTTTTCCTCAAAGGGAATGTGGTATTCCAGCGAGGTGAGAGCTTGCTCGCTGGGCAGATACTGTGTGGTCAGCGGCATGTTGCTGTAGCGGCTGAAGGTAGACGTAAAGTGGAAGTGGCGCAGGAACTCCAAGTGGGGCACGAAGGGCACATTTCTGGGCGATTCCTCGTGCAGTAAGGCCCAAATTTGCTGCTGGCCCCGTGGTAGCGGAAAGTCGCTTGTCTTCATGTCGGATCCATAGAACAGAACGCCCTGTTGCAAGAGACGCAATAGGGTTAGCTTACAAGTGATAAGGCGCCGCCGGATGCGGATAAGGGGAACAATCTACACAGTACGAACCCGGGCCATCGGCAGGCGGCTCCTCTTGTTGCTGATGCGACACGTGTCCACGCCGCACTGGCGCACCTCGTCGTAGTTGAAGGAAAAGGAACGCGACCACCAGAGAAGCTGGACGGGATCGCTGGTCTTTAGGCCATCGTAGCTTGAGATCCATTGGGAGCAGACGAAAAGGAATGCCAGCCAAATGCACAATATAACACACACAGCCACATAGTAACGTCGATGCAGCCGCATGGCTGTGCTCCAGGTTAGGATTATTTATATATTTTTTATATATTTTCTTCTGTTTCTGTTTAAAAAGTCGGCGGCGCCGCTATTTTGGAACGGGAATTTTTTTGAACTATCAATCAACAGCTGATTTCCGTTTTAAGTGTTGGTAAGCGTCCAAATGAGAAGGCCCCTACACACGATGCACAGTGGCGCCTTCTCTCATTTTACGTTGCAAAAATCAAAATTTGTAATGCATATATGATAAATGAAGAGATTAAACGCATTCAAATATAAGCTTTTTTTATGGATTTAATAATATAAAAATGTTTCAAGGACATATTAAAAAAAATTGTAAGTGAATTATTTACTTTATAGTATAAATAATTACTAAAAATAAGCATAGATTTGGGAATTTCTAGCGGCTTAAGCATTCGCAACTTAACAACAAATTTATAAATATTTCCTAAACCGCAAAAATAAAGTTTAACTTAGATTTTTGCAACTGTGTTTGTTCTACAGGTGCTACTGTGCGACGTATCTAGATTGTATAAACATGAGGATTTTTTAGGTGGAAGTTTCAACTCTTTGAGATTTTTAAGGGGCAAGCCAAATTTGCGTCTGGCCACACTGATCCGCTTACAGCTGATCGAAGCAATAGAAATTAATTAATTTGTTAATATCGCCTGTTATTAATTATTATAATTACTATTATTACCATGGCCCGACACCTGTGAGCGCCCAAAAGGGCGTCCAAAATGAAACGTCTGCCGGCAACGAGACAAGGTGGAAAACGAACGTCGACATAACACGTCAACAACACGTAGAGCGAAACATTCACGGCCAAGAGACCATACGGCGCGGGATTACGGCCGCAGAGCATGTGTAATGGCCTCTACGAGATCCGCCGGAGATGCAACGCCCACTGCTGAGCCCACGTCCGCTTTCAGGAAACTCTCCACGGCTAGTGGGAGTGGGATCGCACCAGGAGCGCCCAGCTGGCAGAGCTGCTACTACTGCACCCGGGAGCACTTCAAGACCATCAGCGACTTTGTGAAGTGAGTAAGCGGGAAAGGCCATAAAAACATTTTATTTGGGAGTAGTCTGCTCCAAATGTAGTCAAATTTAGGAGCAGATTGAGGGGCAAACAAGACATTTCTGACTTGCCGGGAATTCTACCAAAATGGTGAACAGGTAAAATCAGCCAGGCAGCAGGTAAAAGCAGCTGTATTTGTATTATTTGCACAAGTACAGTCGATAAGAAACAATGGAGTTTAGAGCAACGTTTCTGCTAGATTAAATAAACACATTTCAAACCTTGCTTAATATTTAATAATTAATTTTATATTTTTTCCAGTCACCTACGATCTCGACACTGCACCCGTGAAGGCGGCTCCTTTGTGTGTCGCTACGGCTTCAATGGCGTTTGTGCCTCTCTTCCATTGGACGGAGTCTCTGACCGCGACTACGACGCCCATGTGGCCAAGTATCATGTAAACCAGCAGACACGCGAAATGCCACCAGAATGGGGAGTCTACTCGGCGGCCCAGAACCTGCCGGCCGTGCTAAACGATCCGTCTCGCGGCAAACAGAGCAATCTATTTACCAAGAAGTGGGGCGAACACTTTGTGGATCGGAGTCATGTGCCCGCCTCACCGCGCCTCCCAGACATCACGCATGCCGACTTTTCCGTATATCTGGGAAGCATAGGAAAGCGATATCGCTGGCATGAGCGTCGCCAGCAGCAACTGGAGCGAGATAAGCCGCTGGAAAACGGAGGACAAAGCTTACCAGGATCAGGTGGGCAGACAACACCCACGCATCTGGGCGCGGTGCCGGAGATCTTCCTGAAGTCGCAGCTGCAGCTGCACCACCCGGCCACCTTCAAGCAGGTGTTTCCCAATTACATGCAGACATCCGCTTCCACGCCGGAAACGCACCAGCAGACAGGCCGGCAGTTGCAGGAGCAACTGAGTCACTACCTGGACATGGTGGAGGTGAAGATCGCCCAGCAAGTTTCGCAGAAATCTGGCGCCTTCTTTCACGCGATGACCACGCAACATGCCATTTTAGCCGAAATGGAGCAGGCTGCGGAACAGGTGCGTCAGCTGAGGGCAGCGCTGGCCCAGCTGCACAGCCACTCGGTGGTGGACAGCTTTAAGGTGCTGCGCTACGCCCAGCGAAGGCAGCACTACAACCTGACGCTGGACAAACTCCGACTGATGGCCACTGTGCACAAGACGCAACCGATGCTGCAGCTCCTCCTGGGTACCCAGGACTATGTGGCAGCTCTGGACCTGATAGGAACCACCCAGGAGATCCTGTCCGCCGAGCTGCTCGGCATCCACTGCTTCAAGCACTTGCCCATGCAGCTCAGCGAGATGGAGAAGCTGATCGATAAGATGCTTACCACGGAATTCGAACGCTACGCCGCCTCGGATCTTAATCGACCGCTGACGGATTCCCTCCGGGAAACGGATAGCGTTTGCGCCGAGGAGGACAAGCTGGTGGCCATTGTTATGGGCCTGCTGCGCAAGCAAAACTTCACCTTTGTCCAGTCCTATCAGCAGGAAGCCATTGCCACCATTAGAGCCATCATCAAACAGCTGCTGATCGAGGTATTGGCGCGCAGCGACAGCGATCAGGAGATCAGCCTAACGGGTCACGGGGAGCAGGCCTTGGAGCTCACCCTGCCCGAGTGGATTGCCCTCCTGCAGCGCTCCAGTCAGGCCCTGGTTTCCATTCTCGAACGCATCAAGGCCGTGGTCGGCATCATGCAGCAAACGGCAGACGCCGCTGTGGGCGCTCAAGATGCGGTGAATCTGATAGATTCCGAGGCGTTTCTCAGCCTCGGACATCATGAGCAGCTGCAATCCCAGCTGCAGCAACTCCTGCAGGCTGTCTGTCATTACTGCCATGAGCGTTGCGCCAACATTGTCTCTCCCCAGAGCTTGGAAAAGAGTTCGGCGAGTGAACAGGAGCTCACCCAGCTCTCGGAGATTGTGGAGCAGTTTGGCGAGACCACGAGGAGCATTTGTGGGGTGGCCAGTGTGCCGCTCCAGTTGGCCTTAAAAGTCCAGGCGTCACGATACGCTCAAAGATTTCATTCAGAACGAAAGCAAAAGTTGTCCTTACTCCTCGACCAGGAACGCTGGCGACAGGTTGACATACCCCATGAGTTCCAGCGGATCATCGAGCGAATGGCTGCCGGGGATTACGCCAAGCCGGAGCTGGGCAACCTGATCAGCAATGGCGGCGGCAATCCCGTGCTTCTGGTGGAAGGAAAGCAACCGTACACCTTGGTAAGCGCGTCGCTGATGCTGATCAGGATGCTGTACGAGTACGGAGGCAGCGCCCAGCGGCTGCCACTGCTGGCTAGCTATCATGCCCGGAACGTAGTTGACCTCCTGAGGTGCTTCAACTCACGCAGCTGCCAACTAATCATCGGAGCTGGGGCCATGCGGGTGGCTGGCCTGAAGACCATTACCAGCACCAATCTGGCGCTGGTTTCCCGGGCTCTCCAGTTGGTTCTTTGGCTGCTGCCCAAGCTCAAGGAGCACTTCCAGGCGATGAGTGGCTATGAGGCCATCGAAAGGGACTACCAGGGTCACATCAAGGAGATCGAGAACAAGATCCACGGCATTGTCTCGGAGCGACTAGCGGCACAACTGGATGCCTGGGAGGCGCGTCCGCCAATACCCTCCCAAACCTTCCGCCACATCTCCCGGCATCTGGTGAAACTCCACGAGGCCATCGCCGGAGTGCTGCCCGAGGCACAGATCCACGAGATCTACGGCGTGGTACACCGCAACTTCAAGGACAAGTTGCGGGAGCAGCTGCTGAAGCTGAATGTCAACAACAACGGAGGGCCACAGCATGGAGTGGTCACCTCGGAGCTGACCTTCTACATGGAGACGCTGCGCACACTGAAAGCCCTTCCCGCCGAGCAGCTGGACAACGGGATTCTGGAGGAGATTTGGCTTTACTGAGCACAGCATTCCGAAGTATTCCATTTGTTTGTTATCTTTGTTTTATTTATACGATCCGTGACCTGGTGTCCAGTCGCGGTCATGTAGCCCGTTTTCTGTGTAGATTTCATATTTTTATTTTCCGCCCTATAGAGTAAAGGAAAGAGAGAACCTTTTCTCCTTCGTTGCGCACTTTTTATATACATAAAGCGTAAAGTCACTGGAAAGGCTTATGATTAAAGAATAGTAAATAATCAAAATGGGTTTAAGCGTGTTCTAATTAATGGTGGGATGTATTATTAAGCTTTTAACTATTCCCTTTATTTATTCAAACCATTTATTGCCATTCACACCTTGGCATGACGTTGCCAGACTGCTCAAGTTGCCAATGGCAACCGTTAAAAACGACAAACATTCTTTCCGGCTTTTCTTTTCACTTTTCTCATGCGATGCGCTTGCCGCAGATATTTCACAGCCTGCACAAGCGTCTTCAAAAAATGTTTGAAAAGAATAACGAGGGAGGTGAGAGTGGCACACCCAGCATCCAGGACATAGCCGGTCGACTGGCGGAGGAACAGCAACGACTCCGGCAACTGGAGGCCACCACGATGCCCAAGGAGCGAACAATTCTAGTCCTGGGGAGCAAGTGTGTGGTGAGAAACCATTACCCAGGAAATAAAAGGCCAAAGAAATAAATAACTAATCAATCTTCTTTATTTTACTCCAGGGTAAAACTTCAGCTATCAACAAATTCTTTGAACGCGAAGAGCACACAACCCGTCCCACTCTGGCCCTGGAGTATAGCTTTGGTCGGAGAATCGGGAGTGGAAAGTCACCTCAGGTCATGAATGTGTGGGAGTTGGGCTCCCTTGACAATGCGGAGCAGCTACTGGAGGTGCCCATGAGGACCCACGGATTGCAGCAGCTGGCCGTCTTCATAATACTGGATCTCTCACAGCCACAGCGTTTCTGGACTGATTTTGAGTGTGCCTACAAGGGATTGCGGGATACGGCTCAGAAAATGATGGAAAAGTTGACCCCTGACCTAAGGGAAATGCTAGAACAGCGAGCCCTGGAGCGAGTGGGTCACCAAAACAAGGAGGATCTGGGTAACCAGGACCCTCTACCCTTTCCCGTTGTAATTGTGGGCGGAAAGTATGATATCTTTGCTGGCTTGGATCCCGCTGTTAAAAAGCACACCTGTCGGTGCCTTCGATCCGTGACTCATTTGATCGGTGGAGCGTTGCTTTTCTACTCTCAAAGGATACCCAAGTTGGCCAAGGTCCTAAGGGACACCATCAGCCATTTGGGATTCGGAAGTCCCGCCCATCCGTTTCGCTCCCATGTCACGGACTTTAATGAACCTCTTTGCATTTGGTTTGGAAAGGACAGTTGGTCATTAATTGGGGATACTGAAGCCCAAAGTGTGGAGCGAATTGGGGCCACTTTTGGGGCGGATGTGCCCCAGTTGCAGTTGGAAAAGCAGAAGCTGCAAGAGACACCAGATCCGGCTAAGGATCCGGGATTCAAGGAGTCCCTAATCGACGAGATGAGAGCGCAAAAGAACGAAGAACTCGCTAGCATCATGAGGGATGTCCTTCTCCGGGGAAAGTTTGAGAGTGTCCCGAACTAATGTGACTCCGGAACAGAGCATCAAGAGTATTATGAACTAAAAATAAAGCTAAGCATTTAGTGTCCTTGTAATGTATGTAAATCTCATATATAAAGTAGATCAAAGTAATCTCTGCCGTTTTGGTTTGTGTGTTTCCTGCTAAATTTCAAAAATGTCCCAGCCTGTTGCAGCGAAGGCCCGTGTTATTAAGATCCTGGGTCGTATTGGAGCCTGTGGAATACTTACCGAAGTCCAGGTGCAGCCGCTCGACTTTCCCAAGATGCATTTTCGCCGCAGTGTCAAGGGACGCGTTCGCATTGGGGATATTATCGATTTCGTGGACACTGAATTGGCAGGACAGCCGTCGTGCAGGAGCCACAGTAACTTCGGGGAAATTGAATCGGCACTCAAAATCCACACTCAGGACACCAAAGGAGGCAAAACTGAAAAGTAACGAGGATTAAACAAATGAAATTTGACTAAGGACTTATAAAATTATAAATTATATATAAAATTAAAATTAAATACTTAAATTAAGAGGCCTAAAACCGTGTCTTCTACATTTCAAACAAATATTTTTTTAAATTTGCTTTCCTTTCCACCAGTCTGGCAACACTCTAATCTGACACTTTACCGTTAAATTGCGCTTCTCAGCTGACCGCAAAACGCACCCTTGCTCCATCTCTCTCTTACGCTCTCTTTGGGGGAGCAAGGGCTCCAAGCGGCGCCAACAGCGACGCTCTGTCGAGGTCGACTGTTTACACCATAAACTTCACGAACTCTGGAAAACGTGAAATGGAAGTAAGACCTGTTTAAACGTATTCTTAAATTAAATTATTGGAATTTAAACAAGATGTCGGAGTAAAAAAAGTTTAAAAAAGTCGGGGTCAAAGATATATCCCGCCTATCAAACTTCATTAGTCCCAAGTTATATCTGCAACTCCATATATGTAAGTACATTTCCTTCCGCTTGGTGTTGCCACATCATTTCTACAAATTGAAGTTGGCTGCGATTCTCCATTTGACGAACTTCCTGTTTATTTTTTGTGTGCAAGCTTTTCCCCAATTCTTGAAACGATTACACGAAATCGACTTGGCATAAACACTGGCATAGCACGCGCTGCCTTCGATTCGGTTTCGGATTCGCTTTGAGCTTCAGCTCAGTTGCCGTTAACTGTTCTCGCGTGGCGGAGCTATTTTCCGCGCTGCTCTCTTCGCAGGCGGCCGTGTGTGTGTGTGCGGTGTGCGTGTGTGCGATTTGTTTGGTGCAAATCTTTGGCAAAATACAACTCCGGTGCAAGTGGTGGTACGAAATAATTATGAATAATAGCACTCCAGAAAGTGCAGCATTTGGCCCTGAATCATTATTTTTTAATTGAAAGCTGCTCTCGATGGCAAGACTCTCCGGGAAACTCCGCTCCGTGAAGTTGCTGGCTGCTGTTGCTATTGTTGCCGTTGTGTAATCAGTCCGAAACGGAGTTTCTTGCTTTGTTTGTTTTTCTCGGCTTTATTTTGGGGCTACAGCAACAACAATAACAACGAAGCCAAGTGCAAAGTACAGAAAACATGTTTAAATTGCTTTGAGCTTGGGAGTTTGTACAAAAAAAGCTCCTGAAAACGTCGAAATTTCAACTCCACACACAAAAGCGAGAGCCCCCATTGAATTAGCACAGGTGAGTTGGAATAAATATTTCACAGGCACACACACACACATATGTACAGTGTAGTGTGCTCCAATTTCGTACTCCTCTTTTGGTGCCACAATTTTTTTTGGTGGGTCACAATAATAACAAGAACCAGCACAGCCCAAAACACCAAATTATTGATTTTCTTTTCAGAGGAGCCCCCGTCCGTTCTGGCGCTCTTTTTATTTTCCTGCGATTTTATTCCTTCACGCGAGCGTGTGTGAGTGTGCGTGCTGGCTGCGATTGTGTGCGAGCGTGTGTGGGTGGGTGTGGGTGTATTTAATCAAGAACAGAAACCGTTTTTCTGCAGCTCCGTCAGCTTACCGTTGGCTGAGCCGAGCAGCCGCATTTGCATTTTGTCACATTGCCAAGGCAACGCCATATGGTCGCGCGATCTGATGCCCTTTCGGGATTAGTTGGGGCTATGTCGCCATCCCAGGGACCTTGCCCCATTCGCTTACTTCTTCCTCTTCCGGCTCGAGATAGAGCTAATAACTAGTAGGTAGTAGTGGCAATTAGCAGTATAGAAATCCGGTCAGGGGCCGTTTTGCGCCGATTTAGGGTCGCAGTAAAGTGGCAGTCACTTAACCAGTTTAAATCTACGACTAACTGCCAGGAAACACAATTCCTTAGTTTAGTTCTATTCTACAAGTTATTTGATTTAATTGTAAAGAGTTGCTTGTAGTAAATCAGTCTTAAGAGTGTCCTTATTCAAAGTCTTAACTGTCAGATGTCAGAATAAAAAAGTTTGACAGAAGAATGAAAACACTGAGCACTCCTATGTATTACCTATTAATGTTTGCTGTTTGAAACGGTTAACATATTTTAAGAATTTATTTTCTATTTCTATCATTGAAAGTAAATTAATAAATTAAATTCCCAAACTTGGAGATACTTTTTTCAATTTAATTAAAAGGGTATTTAGAATACGTCATTACCAAGAGGCCTTGCTCTCCATTTATTTTTTGTTGATTCCTATTTTTTTGTTTTTTTCTGGATGTTTATGTACATTGGACTTGCGACGCTTGCATTATTGGGATTTCTTCCTCGTTGACAGACTGTTTGTTGTTTTTTTTTTTTGTGTTTTCATTACTGGCACGCGTTTGTTTCGGTTTCTTTGCTTTTATTTTTGTATCCTTTGACCCCCTCATCGTTGCCCTAAAAAACACTAAAAACAGTATTGAATTTTCTGAAGAACAGCGATTTCATCGCTCCCCATGATGACATCAAAAGACCGAGTTAATTCGCCTTATTTGGATATGCCCACGTTTAGAATTTGAATCGAAAGAATAGCAACATTAATTAGCCGCAAGCTCTTTTTTTGGCTCCGAAAAAATCAAAGCAAAAACTCGGTAAAAAATTATTATTATATATTTTTTTTATTGTATGTTACCTTATGCCGTGACCTGAGGGCGTGAAACCAAAACGTATTTAAGCTTCGTTAGTCGGTCGGTGGTTATTGTGCCCGATGATTAATCATAATAATATATATTAAGACCCCTAAGTCCGTGCTTTCGGCATTGTCGGCGGTTGGTAACAGTATTATGTGCATTTTGGCATTGGTTACTTTCGAAAAGCCTTTCAGCAAATACAATGACCTTACCTTATATAGTATATAAAATACATATTCATAAATACAGATAAAGCTTGGCCAATGACTTGCACTCGAAAATGTTAATTGAACCATGAAAGAGCGTGTAAATTAGAACTTTACACATATATAAACACGCTAAAAAAGACGATAAAAAATACAAATCTGCTAATTAAAGCTTCAAACTGGAATTTTGAACAAAAAAAAATATATATAATAAAGATCGTGTGACAAATGGTGGCACGGAAAAAAAAAGTGTGAAGCGAAGATCAAGCAACAATTTAATCAACTTTATGATCTCCATTTGAATAAGAAAAACAAATGGGGAAGCTATCGGTTCAGGGCGCAATCAACATTTATTATTGAATGTCAAATATAATTTAAAATGGCAATTTGTTGGGGGAGTGAATTATTGCTCTTTTGTCTGCCTGGCAACTAAGATGCGGTTGGGGTAGGGTGGGCAAGAGGAACATACAATTTGCATACAAATTTCGTGGAAACTTTTAATTGGGACATTGCGAGGATTAGAGAATGTCTCAGGGGATATAAAGATTAATCGATTCAGTTTTGTGAATAGTTTGGCGAAGAATAGAAATATATTTTATACTTATAGGATTTATATTCCTTAGAAATCTGAGGAAAAAGTAGTGTTTCATATATTAGCGTCTGTAATCAAGAGATTTTATATTATTTCGAGCCTAATTCATATTAGCAATGTTATTCGGGCTTTGGTAATAAATCAACTGTGATAAGAGCTTAATTTATGCATTTAATGAACGCGTAATCCCTTTATTAGCCTACTTCCTATCACATTTTATCAATTTAGTTTACTTATCGCTCTGATAATCTAATAATTAATTAAACCAGAATTATCTAATTTATTGAATTAGATCTCAAATTAATGAATTCTATAAAAAATGATGGTACAATAAAAAAAATAGTAGTTCTTATCAAAGTACAAGCCATACTCCCACGACGACAATGTCAATTGTTTTCGATAAAAAAAACACAACGAAACCCTAGTCAAACCACTCAAGAGAATTAAAGAAAAGCTTGGAAAAATGTTATTTTCTTTTGGTTTGGTGTTTGATTTATTATTATCACTAACGAATACATCATATGGTGGGTGTGCGACACCAAAGCTGCAACTGTTTGTCTAGAAATTTATCAAGATTTCGGCGACGTAGCTGACATTGGAAGGAATCGGATGCACAGGCATACCACTCCCGACAGACGGGAACAAGCTTCTTTGTTATTGGGCATGCTCGTAAATCTAATGGCATCTGTGAGATACACAGATACATTCGCAGTGTGTGCGCATTATGTGCATAAATATTACAGATGCGTCTTCGCACCACCACCATCGGAATGGCAAATGTCATCTGTCATTGGAAATGCAAAGGCGTGGTGTCAAATGTCAGCCCAGGATAATGCAACATAAAAGCATTAACTGATCGATATGCTTGTTAGCTCAACGGGGGTCGATACGACACTAAACAATTTACTTACAACTTATTTTTTACATAAGGTAATTTAAATATTATAATCTCCAAGAGTTCAACTGCAGTTGCATTTTCCCAACCTCAAGCGTTTCCAAAAAGTTTTCCTAACTAGCGATTGCATCCACTTTTTATAGCGGAAACTTAAAGTTACCTTTACATTAATTAACTACTCCCCAAGCATGACCAGACTGACCCTCGGGGAGGCCCCCTACCCAACTAGGTTCAGGGTACCGAACAAAATAAAATCAGTGCCCTGGTGCAGTAAAGAGGTAACCCAGTTGCCTGGAGCACAATGAACTGCCATACCTGAGAGCCGGCGAGGAAATGGGAAGCGACGGCAGTCGCAGCTCACTGAAGCATCAAACGACCAGAAGGTGACTTAAAGCTGCTACCCGGAGCCTTGAATCAACAACTTCCGATTCCACTCCGCCCAGCAATTGCATTCTGTGTGCGTGCCGAGTAGAAGAGCGAGAACGAGAACGGGTACGGCTACGGCTACGGATACGAGTACGAGTACGAGTATCTGGCAGATACAACATACATTCATTCACTCTGCTGCCGGAGCGCCATGGTCATAAATGAGCAACCAAGCACGACAGCGACGCGGCATCAACTGGCATCCCACTTAGGGAGACTGGATGTGGATATGCTCCACCTTCTTTCCCCATGCATCTCACCCACGAATCCGATATTTATATATACACTATATGTGACTGTATGTGTCCGTGTCGGTTGACAAAAGCAAAGTGTGCATA